ACGTTGAAAAAAAATTTGTATTTCTAAGCGATATGTCCAATATACATGTTTGTAAATGAGAAGTGTTACAGCAAATTGCACGTTCTTACGCCGACAACTAATATTCTCAAATTCTGCAAATTTTTAGATATGCCTATTTTGTACATGAAAAACCGAAAACAGAAACCGTTTCAAACGACTCACTTCTACCAACGTATAGTATGAAGTACTGTAGGTGCATATTGTAACTACAGTTCTAGAAATATGGAAAGTTGAGATCCATTCATATGTATATTCCCTATTCACAGTTTCCCTGTTTTTTGGTCACTTTCTGGTCATCCTAAAAAAATCTAAGTAATCTCAGCATTCTAACTGCCGTCAAAGACTTTACTTGGCCACTGTATGAGGTGATAAAACAATAAGTACACAAGATCTTGTGAAATGAGTACAAACGTATATATGTATGTTAAGATCATCTATGTCACCCACAACCTCATTCACTAGCCGTGTGACTATTTTAAACAAGGATTGAAAGTCACGGGTGAAAGGATATTAATTTTCATTTTCTTTAGCTGGAAAGACGTATAACGAAAGCGGCTGAAAAAAGCGTTGCATGATTTGCAGAAGGAATAGGAAAGCAGGAAAGTAAAAACTGAACCTCAAATAAAATCAAACCTAAAGTCGTACAGTAAGAAAATGTGGTTGTGCCTACACTACGCTTCATTTCACGTGCGACATTTTTAACTTACATTAAACATGAAGTCACACTTTAGCACCAGATTCCCGAACAATTAGAAAAAGTGAACAGATGAACCCGTAATTGTTACAGGTGAATAGAGCAAAACCATAAATTTTATACACAGAAAAAAAAAGTAGATTAAGAACATAAAATAAGGTTCTCAAGCAAACATCACTCATCCAGTCTGGATGTCGTCAAACATAAAGAGTTTCCAATCGACATGTTTTTGTAGATAGTAGTAGGGAGAATGGGGTGAGGAGGGGGGAGGATGAGGCAACCTCATCCAACCTTAAAATTACTAACTCAATTTAAAACTTCTGTAGTAGCGACCAATTTGAGAAAGTTAACTTTGCCTTTGTCAAAACTAGGCCATTGATCTAATAAGTGTTTCATCAGACCATCCCTCTAAGTGTACCACTACATTGTCAAGAAGTAAAACAGTTTACAATATTCTAGATAAATAACTTGAAAGTTACTGGATATCTACAATCAACAACTGCAAGTGACATCCGTCACCTAAAAGTTTCGGGCAAATTGCTTTAACGCAATCCAACTGAAACAAAGAAAAAAACAAAAATTAGGCAAGAAAATGACACGAAACTTACCTTTAACGAGTTAAGCAGATCATCAGATTCTTTTCTACTCGTCATTTTTCACAAGATTCCAATGCTTTCTGGCGACATACAGGTTTGCTGAAAAGAAGTGTTGGAATCAGACCGCAGATTAGAACTCTTGAAGTTTTCCGGTGTGCATGAATTAAAATACATGAGCACAAGTTCCTCATATCATGCTACTAGTAACTTAAAAATACAGATCTGCTTGCTGTTTTTAAAAAATTCAATGGAAACGTGTGGGAAAAATCTGTCGATTCTTTTGCATATTTCATTTTAATTTGGGCTTGTTTTACTTCTTAGATGAATAAGTGAAGTTTAGTACGGCAGAACTGGTAAATGCAATCAAATTTCCAGCCACGGATTAGAATCAGACCCACCTTTTCTTTACAAACTAAGTACAAGAAGTAATATCATAAAGCAATCTATAATTATCCACAAACTCTGCAAAAAGAGGAAGCAGGCTTCCACACACACCTCGTAAACATTTACGAGAAGACTCAAAAAGCGTAAACTCGAAACCAACGAAGTATGGCATTACAATCGAGTATTTTTCCTAGTACTATCAGCACAAATACCGTTCTTCTTTCTATGCAGTAAACTTCCTTACCCATGTATAATTGGTATCAGCGAAGGTCCCACCAACACCGAGGTGCATATCCGCTGGAAAAATTCCAACTGCTCAAAATTGAAACCTGATTTCTCATTTTAAAAGAAAGCTAGACTTATTTACAGCGATTATATATTTATATACACTTAGGTAAACCTGCGCTGCATTTCCTTCCTTGTTTCAAAATTCTTTCAATTCACTGACAG